GATATCTCTTAATCATCAAAATTGATTCCAGATAACTTAGCCATTTTCAAAAATTAAATGCATTTTCAAGAGGTAAATATTTGCCGCAGTGAAGAAACACTCACAAATGGCTCTTATGGGAATTAACTACTTAGAAGGGAGCCTGATGCATTTAATAAGAATGTCCTAGATTTATTTTAGAATCAGTGCTTTGGTGGAGGGGCACAAAGGTTGATCAGTTTGATAAAGGGATCCTGGGGTCACATCACCATCCACCTTTTCCCCTCCCCTCGGGAGGAAATACCTGAAGCTTAAAGGACCAGTCTGATTCCAGAGCAGAGTATGTCCTGCTGTATACATAATTTATTAATATGTGGATGTTTTATGTTACTTTAAGGCCTTTTTGTTGCATGATTGTCTTTCCCCTGCAGTTTCTTATCAAGCCGTAGCCAAGACTCCATTCTGAGCTCCATCACTGTGCCATAACTGTCACTCCGTGGCTGCATTTGAAGAAGACAAATAATTATGTGAGCAGCATGACTTTCTAACGAACAAATTAAGCCTGATATTTATTAGTAATAACTGCTTTCTCTTATAGTGGATAATGAAAAACTGCAGGGTGGATTCATGTTGTGTTTCCTGGATGATGGATGTGGCATGAGCCCTGGTAAGTTAATTATCTAGATATCTAACTGGCTGTTAAAGGAAGCAGTCTGAAAACCCGTAAAATAAATAAAAATAAATTTACCTATCTATGCAGAAACAGGTATGGAGCTATTAGGGAAAATAAACCCCAGACTTATTGTTGAACTTTTTAGGTTTAAATAATCCAGCTAGCATAGTAAATTTATTGTAACCATCTACACCAAGACAAAAAGTGAATGTAAATAAATATTATCAGAAAAATGAAAGGCAAATGGTACTGATTGTAAGAAAAAAGCATCTGGGAAGGAATGGAAAACAAATAGTACTGGAAGGACTATGTAATTCTTTTAGCTCAACCTTTAAGTATTGCTTGCAAGTTCCCCAGGCAGTTTCCTGTGCCTTTAGGCTATTTTTAATTTTCTGCTTAACCTTGAGGTAGAGGTTACCTCTCCTTGTTTTTAACAGTTTGTTTTTTCTCTGCATTTCAAAGGTTTAGTTGCTTCAAATGAATGTTCCCATCGTAACAAATACATCTGCAATATATTTCATGACTTATTTTTGTGTGTTCAAGGTTAGCACAAAGCTGGCACAATAATAGGTGCGCAGTATCCGTGGGCTGTGGAATTGAAATGTTACTCCTTTTGATAAAGGCTTTGAGATGTTTTAGATATTGTATTTCTGAATTCTTTAAACATCTTATCTCTCTCAAGCTAGGGTTTTTGACCACTAGGTTTAAGAAACGGTGACAGAGTTCAAGTAATATGGAATTGTTCTGGTCAGTTCCACACCAAGGAAAGGGTGATCATCAATATGATCATATATTGACATGTTGATTATAAGCTGAGAATACAAAGTAAAGCAGTTATCTTCTGGCTCAGAAGTCCTCCCTTGGGCTGAATAGTCAAAGAATATTTGTTAGCAACTTTAGAAAATGCTTGACTATGCCACCTAGTTCTCGTTCTGACTTCGGATAATTTTGGTTTTTCCAGGTCATTTTATTAAAAGTTTTTGGTCCTTTGGTGTTTAACTAAATGGGAAAGAAAAGAGTTTGTAAGAAAACCATGCTGAAAAACAGTCTCATTTTTTTACTTCTAGCCTGAGTGTTAAGTTTATTTTCCTGAATTCTTAAAATAAGGGACAATGTATGTGATATGTGATATAGTCTCAGGGAAATCCTTATGAAAATAAGCAATTCCTTTTACATGGATTATGAATAAAATGATGGAAACACAGACAACTGACAAATATTCAGACCTTCAAAAGTAACTCACAGTAGATTTATATAGTAGTATTATAAAAAAGCACACTATTGTTGAAAGAACAGTTCTTAATTAGCGTTGGAAATCAACTAGTGGTAAGTTAGAAGAGTTTATCTGATGTTCAAGATGACTGCAGAGATTTTGGGTTTGTTTACATATTATTTTATCCCCAGCTTTGCCCCATTACAGTCCATTCCCCTCTCAGCATCCTGAGTGAGTTCTTTTCTTTTAATGTAAACCTTATCATATCATTCTCCTGAAAACCCTTAGTGGTTTCCCATTGCTTAACAACCAAATTCATACTGCCAGCATCTTTTCCACGGCCTTGTGTTATTTGGCCCTGAATGTAATGCCATTAAGATCCTTGTAAGAAATTATTAACCCTGACAAGAATTCTTGTTTCTGGGCTGACCCAAGAGCTATGGACTTGTCTCAATGTCCTGAGATGTGTATAAAGTCCTGACAACTAGACCTCAGGCCAGGGTCAAAGACTCTTCCTGACCACGTTAAGTCTTTGTCAATTGCAGAGGAAGCTTCAGACATCATTTACTTTGGAACATCCAAAAAACGGCTATCAACCTTGAAGTTCATTGGGCAATATGGCAATGGTCTTAAAAGGTAAGCATTTTGGCTGAGTACGGTGGCTCACACCTGTAATCCTAGCACTCTGAGTGGCCCAGGTGGGAAGATTGCTTGAACTCAGGAGTTCTAGACCAGCCTGAGCAACAGTGAGACCCCGTCTCTCCTAAAAATAGAAAAAATTAGCCGGGTGTGGTGGCCTGGGCCTGTAGTCCCAGCTACTCAGGAGGCTGAGCTTTATGACACCACTGCATTCTACCTGGGGTGACAGAGTGAGACTGTCTCCAAAAAAAAAAGAAAAGAAAAAAAAAATTTTTTTTCCCTCAAGGCATATATTATTCATACTAAGAATAATATTTAGTTAAAGGCAGTCTTATACAGAATGATGCAGGCACATAAAGCTTTAAAAAGAATATAAACTTGAGGTGTTCCTACCTTGTTTTGGAATCTCCATACCAATAACTGATTTGGATCTTTACAACATTTCAAAAATTAATTCTCACATACAGTAAGTCTTTCAAGGATTCCTGAAGCAGTACCTCTGTTGGTAGGA